CCGACACGAGGCACCACGGCACCTCATAATCTTTTCCCTCCCCAACCAGCCACCCACAACCTCCCCCTCCTCACCCCAGCCACCCGCAACCTCCCCCTCCTCACCCCAGCCACCCGCAACCTCCCCTCCTCACCCCAGCCACCCACAACCCTCTCCCCAACCAGCCACCCACAACCTTTTCCCTCCCCAACCAGCCACCCACAACCTCCTTCCTCCTCACCCCAGCCACCCACAACCTCCCCCTCCTCACCTCAGCCACCCACAACCTCCCCCTCCTCACCCCAGCCACCTCAAGGACTCATGGTGTGTGGCAAGGGACCATTTGTTTACATGTCTGCAGAGTGAACTAAAGAAGCACAGAAAAATAATTGGCTCCAGAAAACTAAGGTAAAAGATACAATACAAATTAAATCAGAACAAAACACAATGAAAATTAGTGAATATCTTATTGTTTTTAAGCCATCCTCAGTACAAGGACCATTTACCTGTATAGTATTTGTCACTATGTTAATTATCCTCATTAAATGTGACAACTTACCTGGCCAGATATTAGAATAATATAATGAGGTAAATGTGTTATTATAGGCAGCCATTAATAGTGTAAACATCTCTCACTATATGACCTTCAATGTCCATTAGTTCCAGGTCCTTAAAAAGTTGTCAACACAGCTGTAGGTCTCATAAGTGTCAGTTATATATGATTCATGTATGATGTATGTTGATGTATAGTTAAGGAATAATGAAACAGGTTTTTTTTTCATTCAAGAGCTCAAGGAGTATACTAATACATTAATGGTGTGAGACAGTGATAAGGTGGAAGGAGTCTTATAATACCCTGATATTAAGAGTAATGAGACACAAATTTACGTTGAGATATTTCACACCACACGACTTCTCCTCCTCCCCCTCTCCCTACCCCTACCCATTCTACCTCCTCCTCCCCCTCCCTCTCCCTACCCCTACCCATTCTCCCTCCTCCCCTCCCTCCCCCCTCACGATAAGTTATCCCATAAAGGAGGAGGAGGAGGAGGAGAAAGAAGAAAAATAAGGGCATGAGAACCAATTTAGGAAGACGATACGAGGCAAAAACCTGATAAAGGAGAACAAAGGAAGCGGGCAGAGCGTGGAAGAGAATAAAGAAGGGTATATTGTGCGAGTCATCCGCCTTAAACAATAGAACAAGATTTTTTGGTTGGGGTGAACATCAGAGGTGAGGGGGTGGAGGGGGGCGGGTGAGGGGGGCAGAGGGGGGCGAAGAGGGGGTGGAGGGGGTAGAGAGGGGTAACATAGGCTCCCCCACGGCCATGTAGACACCTGGTTCACCGTCAACATACACATCGTTAATAAAATATATAGGTGAAGATCCTGAATTAGTTTTTTTGGTTTTTTAAGATAAGGACAGTTAAAATGGAGCAACCTATCAGTGTAAATGAGAGTGAACATAGTGGGGATACTAATGCTGTTATAGTGTATTAAATATATTGTCTTTTGAACTGAGGAAGAGAATGATTTTAATTAATAAACTCAACCGTGAAGATTATACCTAGTACACGGTATCACTGGTGTTGGTAAAATATAATAGAAGCGACAGTGTAAACATCACAAATAACAATAATGTGAATAAACGAAAGATAAAAAAAGTTACAAATATAGATGAAATAAACACTGGTAGAACACAACAGACGCCAGGTAAAACATGTACGGTAAGTTTCAACACAAACACCAGAAAGAAAATGAATTACAGTTTTCCAAGAACACCTGGTGAGAGATGAGGTGAAGGTGAGGGCAACAGAGAGAGATATTTAACGTTTACTAAATTATGAAACCAAAAGATATTCAGATATTAGACTTGATCAGGTTAAAGGTGTACTGTTAGTTATATAGTCTACTAAAGGTTTACTTATACTGTATTATGATAAACAATTTAAAATGTATAATAAATGATACGTTTTTTAACTAGAGGTCCATCATTGTAACAAAGATGTTCAAATGTTCCGGAAATACAAAAATGTCTACAGCATTTTGAACGAATCTTTATTTTTTTTTTTTACTTTTTATGTGTAATTATGAAAGAAAATATGAATAGAAAAACGAATAATGTGATGAAAGATAAACATAGGGCAGAGGAAGTTGGTAAAGTGAGAGTCTTTAAGAGAAGGAGTAAAAAACAAAACGAATTTTACTATGAGTGAGTGAGTGAGTGAGTGAGAAAATCTGTGGCCGCTAGAGACGACACCATCACCCTGCCTTAGTGAGGAGGAGCAACAGGTGACCTCCAGGTACTGACTACTGCTCTGATAACTTAACACAGGTAAGTCACTCCCTGCCTCGTGTCTTAATACAATCTCATACTGTTGACATTATTGTACCTGTATTTAGTAAAAGATTATCACGACACGAATAATAATTGTACTTGACCCCCTATGTGTGTGTGTGTGTGTGTGTGTGTGTGTGTGTGTGTGTGTGTTCACGTACATAATTAGTTGCAAGAGCTGATTTGTCTATAAACGGCTATACAAATACTAATTACAAATTATTTACTTCCCTGCGGTTCAAATTATCGTAGATAATTACTAATTGGAAATATCTAATTAATCTACCACAGTCGACCCGCCAGTTAATATATTACAGAGATATTTAGTGAGTGTTAGAGGGGACCAGCTGGTGTGCCACACATGACAGTGACCAGCTGGTGGTGTGCCACACATGACAGTGACCAGCTGGTGGTGTGCCACACATGACAGTGACCAGCTGGTGGTGTGCCACACATGACAGTGACCAGCTGGTGGTGTGCCACGCATGACAGTGACCAGCTGGTGTTGTGCCACACATGACAGTGACCAGCTGGTGTACACGCATGACAGTGATCAGCTGGTGTGACTGCTGACACATGACAGTGACCAGCTGGTGTTGTGCCACGTATGACAGTGACCAGCTGGTGTTGTGCCACGCATGATGAAGCACCAGCTGGTGTTGTGCCGCATGACAGTGGTGACATGACTGATCAGCTGGTGTTGTGCCACATGACAATGACCAGTTGGTGTTGTGCCACACATGACAGTGACCAGCTGGTGTTGTGCCACATGACAGTGACCAGCTGGTGTTGTGCCACACATGACAGTGACCAGCTGGTGTTGTGCCACACATGACAGTGACCAGCTGGTGTTGTGCCACACATGACAGTGACCAGCTGGTGTTGTGCCACACATGACAGTGACCAGCTGGTGTTGTGCCACACATGACAGTGACCAGCTGGTGTTGTGCCACACATGACAGTGACCAGCTGGTGTTGTGCCACACATGACAGTGACCAGCTGGTGTTGTGCCACACATGACTACTGTAAGTAAGTCCACTACATACATTTTACAAACTTTCTTAGAATAACTTTTAATAATACTTTCTTGTCTTCGATATCTAGATTAATTGTCGGTATCTTAAAAGCTCTTTGTTTTTTTTCTTATAATATCGGTAACTTTTTTTTTAATTATTAAGTGACCTCATAAATAGTAAAAATAAATTGCTCTGTTTTAATCACATTTCAGACGTAGAAATAAGTCCTATATTTTATGTCTGGTGATAAAATCTGATAAAGGATAAATACAGTTTTACGGAGGAGAAATGTTACCAGTATATGATTATAGTTTGTGTTAGCAGTGAGTATTTATATCTTTCCCGGTCTTTATAAATCAATATTAATGGTGTTCATTTAAGAGGAATATTTGTGAGGAATAAATTATCTGCAATTATTTTCTCCTTATAGGTAATGGTATATCCTGGAGAGTATTATTTGCACAGGTAATAATTTATTGGTTTATTCCCCTGATAATTATAGAGAAACTTTTACTCAATTAGTTTTATTAATGTTCAGTTTTTTTTATATGTTGCCTTAAATATCAAATATTTACTGAAACAATAAAGAATAAATTACCAATATATTAATAAATTTATAAATAAACAAACACAACCCTCACCTGTAATTAAAATATATCTGTACCTGAGTAATTTTTTTTCCTATCTTATACGTAAACTTAATTTCCACCTGTCCAAAAAAATATATAATTAAGCAAAAGTAAAAGACAAGTCGTCGTTGGTGGTATGATAAAAAATAAACAAGAAGTGTGGAAAGGATTTAAATGCCTCACTAAAATGACTCTTCCAAAAACCTCACAAATTTGTCTCGTAAAAGATTCAGAACCCGAGACGATGACTTCTGTTCGGGTGAGAGGTCTTAGAGGTGCGTTATCCCTCTTTATCATATCTATTCTCGTCCTTATGAGGTATATAATTAGGGGTTATTTTCCCGTGTGTTTCTGGCAGGGACAATAGGCCTTATTGAGTTTTGCCAAAAGGGTGAAAACTTGAGAGGTATTTGAGATGGGAAGTAGATGAGGTAGTGGTTATATTTCAGCGCTGGGGTGACGGAGCCGCAGTGACCTACCGCAGGGAAAGAGGGTGAGAGGGTGAGAGGGAGAGGGAGGGGGGGAGGGGGGAGAGGGGAAAGGTTGGTTGGGAGAGAGAGGGGAAAATGATGGAAAGGGAGGGAAGGAGAGAGGGGGAGAGGGTGTGAAGGAGGAAATGATGGTGAGGGAGGGAAGGTGGAAGGGGAGAAAGATGGAGTGGGAGGGAAGGAGGGAGAGAAAAAGGACGAGAGGAAAGAAGACAAGAAAACAGGAAGTAAAAAAGAAAATGGAAGAGAGAAGATGAGAGACCTAGAGAAAAGGAAAGAGAAAAATAGGACAGAGATTGAGAAAGGAAGATAGAGATAGATACTCAGAGATGATACATGTAAAGGAGGGAGAGATAAAACAAGGAAGGGGGAGAGGAGACGATGATAAAGAATGAATATAATAAACTAATAAACAATAGTGAATAAGCACGACAGCAAAATAAATAAATAAATAAATAAAAGACGAAAAAAGTCCACATATAAATATTAATAAAAACTTCGCTAATCAATGAAAACATAAACATCCTCACATAGGTAGGAGTTATACCTTACCTGTCTCTTATCTCCCAGGAGAATACACCTGGGTTCTCCTTCTTGTAGTCAGCCACCTTTCGCTCGATCTCTGGAGTGGCTACGCGGGGCTTCGAACCGCCTATCACCCCAGGACGGATCGACCCCGTCTCCTGTAGGCAATAAGGAGCCTCTGGTGAGTGAAAGGATAAAACTACTCCTTGTTAATATTTATGTTCCTGTGTTATCATTACTCCTACGGTACGACTGACTCTTAAACCATTACAGAGCGAGTGTGTTTAGTCTCGCTGGGGAGGAAGGTCGTGATTACTTACCACCTGGCTTTTCTGTCATGAGTTCTGTCACGCTTATACAGTGATTCACATCTACCCTAAAATCTCATCATGTGTTTGTTTGTCTGTTCAGGATCCTTAATAAGAAACAACGGTTAAACAGGACTCTCGCCTACATGTAGTAACAGAGTATCTCACTATCTTACCCCACAAACAGATATCTATTATAGTTAACTTCAGATGATCATGATTAATGTTAATGTTAAAAACCTAAAGAACTACTCACAATTTTTGAGATATTTTAACCTCCAGGATTATCAGGGAGAGGAACTTAACACTTAATATTAATGTTGAATATATTAAGAACATGATGTCTTTATCTGGGCAGAAGACTTCACCTAAGACACCGCCTTACACGGCACCTCACACTCATCAACTGTTCCTGGAAATCTACGTTTTTTTAGAGAATCTTCTTGTTCCTTTGTGTCTCATATTACGAGGAATTTCCAAAAAGTCTGTTAGTATGACAGAGGCCATATATTATCCTTATTATATTGTAATTTTATCTTAAGAAAGACTCTGCCCTCTGGCTCTGGAGGCCGTAGTGTGACCAGCTCAGTAATTGACCCTCTGGTGCTGAAGGTTATAGTGTAGCCAATACAGCTCACACTACAGTAGCACCTCACTGGGCCACCGACACCCTGGAACAAGTGTGTGGCTCTACCATGACGACGAACACTATAACATTAATTAACCAGTTGTCGACACCAGACAGTTTTATTTATCAACTTTTATCTATGATTTTTAACTATTAATCCCGTGGTGAAGACTTAATCCCCTGCTGTTATGTAGATACAATTAATAACTCAATTAATCCTTAGTCGTTGGTCACTCTGTCCCTCCAGCCACCAGGAACCTGTCTGTTGGTTCACTTAATATTAATGCTCTAACAACTATCATCATCACTACTACACTAACTATCACTACCTGCACTGTTACTCTACTGTTTCACCCCTCCACCACCCCTCCATTACCCCTCCCTCCCTTTCTCCCTCCCCTCCATAACCCTTCTTGAAACTCCTTCCTCCTCCTCCATCACTCCTCCCCTTTCATCCATTCTTCCTTAATTCTCTCACCCCCTTCCTCTCCTCTTTTCTTAGCGCCCTCCCTCCTCCAGTACTCCTGCCCTAACTCCCCCTCCCCCTTCCCTTCCCCTCCCCCTGCCCCCCTTGCCCCACACGTACCTGGTATCTATTGAGGATCTTGGACACACAGCCGTGGGATACCCTCAGCTGGCGAGAGATGACACAGGGGCGTATCCCAGCAGCTGCCATCTCGACGATCTTGAGTCTTATGTGGTTGGGTAGAGGGCGGCCATTGATGTAGACGCCACCCAGCTGGTTAACGCGCCCTTGGCCTGCCGGAGAAGTCATTCCTGCTCGCGTTATAATTCATGTTTTCTACCAAGACTTCCTTATCTTACTTGCTATCAGAGTAGTAATACATGATTATATCTTATCTCCCTCGCTATCAGTGGGGTTAATACATGATTATCTGAGCAGCGGGTGATTGGCCAGAGCTACCGGGTAACACTTTACGAGTTATTTAGTGTGTGTGTAGGAGGGCAGAGAGTACCGGGCTGACACACGCTTTAATACTGCCCCCTGGTTATGGTCCTCCCTCTTACCTAACTCCTTGATACTGTCTCTGCCCACTGAGCTTTTATTGAAGGTTTGTGAACAAGATTGGCCCTGGGAGGTGTGTGGGGGAGGGGTGGGGTAGTGGTGTGGGGGAGAAACGGGGCAGTGGTGTGGGGGAGGAACGGGGCAGTGGTGTGGGGGAGGAACGGGGCAGTGGTGTGGGGGAGGAACGGGGCAGTATAGGGGCAGGGCGTAGTATGGGGGCAACAGGGGCAGTGGCGTAGGGGAGGAACGGAGCAGTAATGTGGGGGAGGAACGAGGCAGTAGTGTGGGGGAGGAACGGGGCAGTAGTATGGGGGCGGAACGGGGCAGGGGTGTGGTGGAAGTGGTACGCCTAATACTAATATAATTCATTGATATTTTGACAATAAAGGACTCATATAATCATACAACAACTATAATTTAAGGAAAACTATACAAATACACTTAATTATACAAAAACCTATACAAATTATCTTAACATATATCAAAATTATTAGTATAGTATATATGAATATGTATTAATTTGTACATATATAGATATTCTTTTATTACACAAATACATATGACGTACAATTGGTGAAACAGAATGTGAAAGAAGAATAGGAGAAGTATAGGTTAGTGTGTAGTATGAGACAGATCTGTAATAAGTGTGTTTGTAGTTGAGTGTGTTTGTAGTTGAAGTGTGTCTGTAGTTGAGTGTGTTTGTAGTTGAGTGTGTTTGTAGTTGAAGTGTGTCTGTAGTTGAGTGTGTTTGTAGTTGAGTGTGTTTGTAGTTGAAGTGTGTCTGTAGTTGAGTGTGTCTGTAGTTGAGTGTGTCTGTAGTTGAGTGTGTTTGTAGTTGAGTGTGTTTGTAGTTGAAGTGTGTCTGTAGTTGAAGTGTGTCTGTAGGTGAAGTGTGTCTGTAGTTGAGTGCGTCTGTAGTTGAGTGCGTCTGTAGTTGAGTGCGTCTGTAGTTGAGTGTGTTTGTAGTTGAAGTGTATCTGTAATTGAGTGTATCTGTAGTTGAGTGCGTCTGTAGTTGAAGTGTATCTGTAGTTGAGTGTATCTATAGTTGAGTGTGTTTGTATAATTTGTCGAATATATTGTCATAAAATTAAAGTATACAATAAACTCTAATGTAATCTCCCACAGTTTACAATATAAAACTATTTGACCTCCAACATGATCCACCAACCACCAACACCACTCGGAAAAAACAAACTAACACAATCAATAACAATCACAAAATAACTTCTATAAGATGACCTCGTAAAAAAAAAATCACCCACATCAAAGTCACCAAAGAAAGTTCCTCAAGACAACAAGGGGAAGAAGACCAAGAGACTCCGACTTTACAACCAGTAGACCAAAAAAAAATCACTCGACATTTAAAGAAAAGTTCCCAGGTAATCTTTAATTTGTCAATGTTAAGACGGTGTTTGTGTAGAGGCATTAATTAGACTCAGGTGAGGAGCCTCGTTACATGCCGGGGTGGGGAAGGAGTCAAGGGAAGATTCAATTCTAATTCAGTCATTATCAAGGCTTCCGCTATAATGCCTGAGGTGATGGTTAGGTAGGGGTATAGGTATAAAGTGACAGGTATAGGTAATCATGGGATGGTCTTCAGGGCTGGGAGATGCAGAGTGTGAGGAAGAGAGAGACAGACAAACAGACAAGCAAGGAAAGAAGGAAAAGAGAGACGCAGACATTCAATAAGAGAAAGAGACAACTTAAGATACATTGTGTTCTTGTGTGTGTTGGGTGTTATTCTCTTATTATTCTTTATTGTTTTGTAGTGTTGCAATTTTCTTTAGTTTTCTGTCTCTCTCTCTCTCTCTCTCTCTCTCTCTCTCTCTCTCTCTCTCTCTCTCTTAACAAATACACAGTTTAAGGCCACACGTCTATATATATATCATTGGTGAATCTACATAACCTATTAGCATAAGTTAATACGTTTTATTTCACTGTATATTAAGGAAGAACCGTCATTAAACATTACTACCGTATTTCCTGTCGTCACTAACATTGTATTTCACTGTAAAATAACTTAAATACTTTATTATCAGGGAATTAAGGTTCTGAAATTGAGAGTCCACAAATATTGTTCACCTTGGTAGTATATCGTTCACCAGACCCCTATAGCAACTCATATAAATTGGACGAAACATTATGACAGTAAACGATGGATTCCGTCTGTGTATCTACTACCTTCTCCTACTCCCCCCTATACCCATCACCACCATTCCCTCTTCCCATATCCCCTCCCCTCTATCCCCCCCCACCCCCCCTTCCTTCTCCACCTCCCCTACCACTTCCACGAAGGAGTTGGGGCGTCAAATGACTCAAGGATGCTCGGGGAGGTTGCCAGTTCGGTATTTCCACCCCACCACCCCACCACCAACCCCACCTCCCCACCACCACCCCACCACCACCCACATACTGTTTTTATTTACAGTTGTTAATTAGCCATTATGTCATGATTATATTTGGTGAATGTGGCCCACACCTGCGAGTGTCAGGCTGAGGAGCAATTTAATGTCTCACTCCGACACTATTAAACCTTAACTTAATTATTACATTTTTAATTAGATTTCTTTCAGGAAAGGTTTACTGCTGTTCTTTGTACTGTCACTGAATAAAAGAGTCCCGGTATTATTTACTAACATCTGATCTAGTTAATATGGGATGGTTAAATTAGTCATGGATCATCCTTCAATAATTTATTCTTCTTTTTTAGCTGTTTATTAATTTATCATCATCCCACCCCACACCTGTAGGAGAGGGGCAGGAGGGGCGGGGAGAGGGGCAGAGGGGCGAGTCCTCTTGAGTCTTATATTCAAGTAAAACAAAAGAAAAATGAGGCTAAAACTGGATAAAAATAATATAATAATAATAATAATAATAATAATAATAATAATAATAATAATAATAATAATAATAATAATAATAATAATAATAATAATAATAATAATAATAATAATAATAATAATAACCAAAGTAATAAGAAAATAGTAAAAATATAAAGATAACGTAGATTAATAACACAGGTCTATATAATAAGTTCACAAGACCATTGTTGGTGAGAATA